AAGGATTCGCGCGGGCCGCGCTAGCACTGTCAAGGAGTGCCAAGTAAGGAATCTACCTCCGCCAGAGATTGGAACAGAGCGTTGAACCCATTTCGGCCCAGAGATCTTTGCCCCTGTGCCAGATACAATCGTGCTGATGATGATGGCGGTGGTCGTTGTTAGCCACGTGGTGGTAGCAAGGATGGCCCATGTATTGTCGCAGTGCAGATGATGATGATGATTGTGGTGGCGAAGATGGTGGCAGTGGTCGACCAGGGTTCATTGTTGCTGATGCTACTAGCGACGATGACGATGCCAATTCTGATGATGGTACTGTGGAGCTGGTGGGCAGTCGGGTCTTGTTCATGCTGGTGGCGACGGTGGTTTAGGTGCTGGTGGTGATCGCGATGGTGGAACTCCTGGTTGTTCTGAGGATTGTCATGATCGCCATGATGGTGGTGCTCATCACGGCCTTGGATGTGGCGACGATACTGATGGTTGTGGCCAGTTTGTTGTCGCGATGATGATGGTTTCTGGTTGTCGATGATGAATTAGAGCTAATGCAATCGGTCCAACTGGTATTAGAGATAATGCTCATAATGTTGATGGTGGTGGTGACGGCACTCTGGATGGTGACGGTGGTGGGTGGGTAAGTTGCGAGGCTCGGAGAGAGTACAAAGGTCATGTTGAATCTCATTGAGGAGGGGGGAAGGATGACGGAGTACGACGTGGGTGAAGACGAGGGCGAAGATCAGGGGGAGAAGAAGGAAGGCGGAGTGGGATTAGTAGAAACGCCAAGAGTAATGTTGGGAGAAGGGAGGAGAATGAGTAAGGTTCACAACGGCCAGGCTCAGGGGAAGGATGAGGCTCAGGACCATGATAAGGAGGAGGATAGAAGACCATTCGGATCAGGGGAGCAGAACAGCAGACCAGGAGGAACCGGAGAAGTGTAGCAGACGAGAAGGCACGACACGTGCCGCATTCATCAATATTCCCATTATCATCTCAACTCGTACCGCAATCACTATGGTGACGGTAATAATGCTGGCACACATGATATTGATAATAACGTCACAGCGGGTTTGACGCGTTGTAGCCCAGGTCGTAGACGTGATTGTCATAAACGCGAATATTATGATGGTGAAGGTATTGGGCCAGGTATGGTGGCGATGCTGACGGCCGAGGTGTTGGAAGCGCTGCTTCCAGTGGAATTGAGGCCGGTGGTAGTGATTATGGTCCCGGTGGTTGCGATGACGATGACAAAAATATCATCGGGGTGGGTGGGGTGGTAATGCTTGCGATGGGTGGCGATGTTGCAGTTTTGTCTGCCCGGCTACTACTGCAGGTAGTCGCGATGATGATGGTGGCGGAAGTGTTTGGCCAGATGGCGTTGGCGGTGATGGCCCACAGACGGGTTGCAGTGCAGATGATGGGTGTCTTGGCAAACGGTGGCGGTGGCGGACCAGGTGGCAGTGATGGTGGTGTACTGGCGATGATGACTACAAATGCTAAACGGTTATGTCAGCGTTGTCGACTTCGTGGCCAGGTGGTAACGATGTGCGCATGGTATTGATGGTGGTCGCTGTGATGGTCCACTCGTCATGCTGCCAAATTGAGTCGTTGCCACTGGTGGTGATCCAAATGGCGGTGATGACGATGATGACGATAAAGAGTGCTAGAGTGGTGGGCGGGACTGATGTTGCTGGTAGTGATGGCGACGGTATTGGTGCGATGCTGCATGCCCAGCTACTAGTGGAGGTCATCGTGATGATACTGGTGTTAGCTGTTGACTTGGTGGCGTTCGCGGTGATGTCCCAGGGGCTGGTTGCGAGTCGTGCTCTGTGGTGGCCTGTGGTGTCCTGTGGTGGCCTGTGGTGCGTTGCGGCGTCCTGTGGCCCCCCCCCGTCGCTTGTGCCCCAGAGGGGCATCCAAAACAGGATGCCCCTCTCGACGTGACACATTAGTTGCGCCATCGCAACCCCGCTCTGCGATCATTTTATTGAGCTTGTACATGCAAAGCGTATCCTGTGGTATTATGTGGTGTCCCTTTGTTTCCTGCGGTGTGCTGCGGTGTCCTGCGGTCTCCTGCGGCGTCCTGTGGTTTACAGCAGTGTCCTGTGGTGGCCTGTCGTGCTCTGTGGTGTCCTGTGGTGTCCTGTGGTGGCCTGTGGTGCGTCGCGGTGTCCTGTGGGCCCCCCCCGTCGCTTGTGCTCCAAAGGGGCATCCAAAACAGGATGCCCCTCTCGACGTGACACATTAGTTGCGTCATCGCAACCCCGCTCTGCGACCATTTTATTGAGCTTGCGCATGCAAAGCCGGTGGCCGAATTCATCGTTGGCCGCGGCAGCGGGCTACTGAGCGCCGACGCACCCGTCCCGGGCGCTCGCCCCGCTGCCTTTTGGCCTCTTGGCGAGCTCGCGATAGGCCTCCCGCTGCGCCCCGGAGGCGTTCGTCAGGAACCTGGCCCTCTCCAGGGAGAAGCAGCGATTCTTCTCCTGACGGGCGGGGGTGCGCAGGGAGGACGGAGACCGCACCCGGGCGCTCGCCCAACCAAGCTCGAGTTTCTGTTCTGTTGCCAGAAGGAAGAGCCGGGGTGGGGGCGGTGAGTTGTTGCTTCGCCGGCACAAAGCCTTGGCCTTCTGGAGGGCAGTCTGCAAGGCGCAGCGCCCCTTGTTCGCCTCGTTCCAAGCGGCCGCCTCACCGTCCCGTTTCCCCTCTGCTCGAGCGGCGCATGCCTCCCGCTTCGCGGCGTCGCGCTCGTCGCAAGCCTCGCCCAGCAAGCTGTTCAGCTTCTCGTTCTTGCTTTTCACCCGGTCGAAAGCCTTGCTGGCGTTCTCGGCCGCGCGCTATGGGGGAGCAGAAAGTTTCGGCGTTGGTCGTTGCGCTGCGGCTAGGGTTAGCGGTGGTCGCTTGTTTACTGCGTGGGGTCATTGCGGTGGTGCCGTTTCCTTGTTTTGTTGGCGTGTTTCGGCGCTGTGATCTCCATTGTTGCCCGTGGAGGCTTGCTCTGCGTTGCTCTGTGCGTGTCTCGCAAGGAGAGGGTGTGTGTTTGTGTGCGTTTGGTATCCCAGCAGCCGGCTGCACGAACACATCACGGCGCAAGTTGAAGTTTTTTTTCTTGGCCGCAACCTCCTTCTGGAGTTCCGCCTGCCGCTTCCTCAGGGCTCCGACGGTGTTGCGGGTCTGCTTCAAGGCCAAATCCAATCCTCGCCGAAGATGTTCCCTCACCCAGGGCTTATTGAGCCAATTCTGGATCGAGGCGGCACGTTTACGATCTCGGCAATTGTCCCGCTTAGTCTTCCGAGCCTTTTTTCGAACTTGCTGGCATGGGGGCAGCGCGCGGCCAACAAAACAATGAAATAACAACACATTGAGGTTGGTAACCCAGAGACGGCACGGCTAAGAACGGACAGGGGGAGAGGGATTGACCCGTAAACTATCATCAACACCATCGTCATCCTCATCATGACTATTCTTCTCGTCAGCCTCCTCGTCGATATCATCATCGACATCAACGTGGCCATCGATATCAACATCAGCATCAACATTATCCTAACAACTCCCTCGCATTCCCTCCTCCTCCTCATCCTCTGAACATCTTCGGGCGCAGGGAATTCGCCGACCAAGCCTACAGCCTGGTAAAACATACCCCACTACTCAAGAGAATCCGAGACTGCATCCCTTCGTGGATGGCCCGGGCTGCTCGCGAGCATTTACGGAACTGAGGCAGGCGTAAACACATCACAATCATCATCATCATCATCATCATCATCATCATCATCATCATCATCATCATCATCATCAGCATCAGCATCATCATCATCATCATCATCATCATCATCAGTGCGCGCACCTCACTCCATCTCAACTGTCAATCATGAAACGTCGATATCATGTACGAGCATAATTAATGCAGCGATCACGTTGCAAGTGCTGGTTCCAGGGGACTCGTTTAAAACCTCCACGGGGAGGGGGGGGTCATCATTTTTTAACCGGTTTTGGACATTATAATGGGATCCATCGGGACATCGATAGAGGTGGGTAATGAGATCGATGGCGAAACCGATCGAGAAAGATACCGACCAAAAACCCGGGACCCCGGAAACCTGGAACCCCGCCGCCCAACGAAATCGGCCCGGAACCCAGAACTGGGAACCCGGCAACCCGTAACCGGGAACACGGGAACCAAGCGGCCTACCGAAATCGGCCGCCAACTTTCGCCAAATCCTTGATATTACACCAAGGGAAATGCCCAATCAGCGGATGGTTTGAAAATTAGCGATTGTGGAATCGATAGTGAGGACGATTGTAAGGTCTATCGTGAGACCGATAATGAAGTTGATTCACTGGGACCGATAATGAGATCGATCGTAAGATCGCACGTGCGATCTATAGTGAGATCGACTGTGAGATTGATGGGGAGATCGATAGAGAGGTTGGTAATGAGATCGATGGTGAAACCGATCGTTAAGAAGGTCGACCATGAACCCAAGAACCCGGGAACCCCGCGGCCGAACGAAATCGGCCCGGAACCAGGGACCAGGGAACCCAGAACCGGGAACACGGGAACACGGCGGCCTACCGAAATCGGCCACCAACTTTCGCCAAATCCTTCAAAATCCACTCGGACCCCTTCAGTGCAAGCACTGATTGGGGAAAGATCCGCTAGAACTCCCTTCAGTGCAAGCACTGATTGGAGAATAAGCTGTCAAAAAACAACTGGCTGCGCTGCCGTCAATTATCCCGACGCATCCGCAAGCACGAAACAGATAAAAACCACGGTTTGAATACAAACTAGCTTGGTTTGCCTCTCCGTATGCTTCAGTGCACAAATTATGAGGTACATCAACTCCTGGGAACGATGCAGTCACGGAAATGCCAAGGATCAGAGGGCGTGGATTGACAACGCCCAGGGGACAGAGACGAGCCTCAGCCATCAAGCCCTGAACGCACAAATGTGTTGCCACCAGCGACAACGAAACGAACACTACCACTTTGTCTGCTAGCGAGCACAGCATGTCCTCCTTTGGCCGATGTCATACTTGGCCTTGGTGTTCTCCTCGCGCGCCCGAGGGCAGAGATCCGCTATGGTGCTGGTGGCAGAGACAGCAGTATCGCGTGACAGAGCCAAATACGAACCAGACTGAGCAACGACAAAGCGTTACACAGAATGCACTACCTGCGATCTTCACATCCAGCCAATGCCAACACAAACACACACACACACACACACACACTTTCTCACGCACACTACGCACCCCCCCACCCCACACACACACACAAATATTGTATATAACAAGTGAACGGGCACGTATACATACACTCGTATGTTTTCACACGTATACATACATTTGGATCGATTTCTTTATATGCTTGGAAGTACGTGTGTATATCCGACACCGTGCATATGGCACGAAGTGGGGTGCTCCGAGGCTCACAGCTGTGCTGCTACTGCAAGCAAAACTGTAGTCCCACCAGCACTCTGGGCGTAAGTGGTCTCGGGAGTTTCCTCTTCCAACGCCCTGCTTCCCCTTCGGGGGTGTATCAATGCTTCCGACTAAATTACACCTCCTCAACCACCCGGCCGGCGGCCTACCCGGAACCATGCCGCCCCTATACGTTCCCCACCCCTCACCATCCCTGCTAAAAAACCATACAAAACACACTCTGCCTCCATATTTGGGACACGCGCGGCCAACCCGGTGCGCCCCTCCCCACCATCCCTGTCAACAAACAATACGAAATACAGTTTGAAGCAAAGTCTTGAGTCATGTTCGTGAGGCCCGCGAGCACTTTGTATTGTTTTTGGAAAGACAGCGGGGGTGTTAGCATAATGCCTGCTGTGCGCGGGGCTACCAGCCCTGACAAAAAACAACACAGCATGCACCTCGCGGCTAAATCTGGATCATGTGCGGCCACCCCGCGATCACTGCCAAATGGTTCTGACAGGGACGGCAGGGGTGGTGGCGCGTTGCCTTCTGTGCGCAGGCCCACCAGACACAATGATGGGCATGGGTTTTCGACCAAGATGGTGGGGGCCGACATGTTTCCCGATATGTGCTGCCACGTGCGCAAGCGCACCTGACGCACTCTGCACGTGCCCCGAACGTGGCGCACCTGGCGCGGCTGGAGTATGCGGCACACCTGGCGCCATTCGGAGCATGTGGCGCCTCTGGCGCACCAGCCGTGCCTAGCACGCTCGGGCCCCAGGGGTGCCCGGCGCGCGTGGCGCCCCTGGCACGTGTGGCGCACCTCGCCCAAGCGTCGGTTTTGGTTCCAAGTAGCTGCCCATCAAAATACGACGGCTGAACATGCTCAGGCTCGGGTGTTCCTTATGTGTTGCGAAGGCGGGTGGGGGTGAGCTAGACGGCTTGCGGGCGGGTGGGTGGCTTGACCCCTCCCCCCTACCTCCTCCCCTGGACCTGGACGGGGCGCACCGCGAGGTGTCAGAGGGTAATGTGTAGCCCAAGATGGCTCCGCGAGGGCCTCAGAGTGCCCAAGCTGACCTCCAAGATGGCTCAAGATAGCCCAAGATGCCGCAAGTCGGCTCCCAAGATGCTCCAAGAGGCCCCAAGAATGCCCCAAGACGGCGCCAAGACGCCTCCGAGACCTCCAAGGAAGCCTCCACGAAGCCAACATCCTTCCAAAACCTAAAGACAATCAACGGTGTGTGCGTTCTCGCCTTTTCGCTTCCGATGACCATCCGAGGCCCCAAGATGGCTCCAAGATGGCCCAAGAGGGCCACAGGAAAGACCGCTGAGAACCCCAAGACGGCCCCAAGAGCGCCCAAGAGCGCTCCAAGAGCGCCCCAAGAGCGCCCCACAAGGAATCTCTGGGGCTCCCGAAGGGGGGCGATGGGTCGAGATCACAACCGGTCGGGTGCGACCACACCAGACGGGTGAAATCCCAACCGTCCAAAGACCCAGGCACGGTCAGATCCTAACCGAGGAGGAAGCGAATTTAAAAAACACATTCAAACATTATCATTCTTGTTTTTCCAATCTGAAACCTCACTGGAAACCTTGGAGGAGCGACCTCACGCCTGAGCTTCACCGGTCGGGAACTCGCCCGTCTTTTACTGGATCGTGAAAGTATCAATGCTAGTATCAGTGGATGTTGTAGTGATAGTAGATGCCAAAATAATGGTAATCGTCGTCGTCATAATAGTAGAGCTAGTCGTCGTCGAAGTAGTCGTAGTAGTCATAATAGCCGTAGCAGTAGTAATAATAGTAGCAATACGAGTAATCGTATTAGTATTATTACTAATAGTAGTAGTAGTAGTAGTAGTAGTAGTAGTAGTAGTAGTAGTAGTAGTAGTAGTAATAGTAGTAGTAAGAGTAGTAGTAAGAGTAGTAGTACTAGTAGTAGTAGTAGTAGTAGTAGTAGTAGTAGTAGTAGTAGTAGTAGTAGTAAGAGTAAGAGTAAGGGTAGTAGTAGTAGCAGTCGTAAATGTATTATTATTAGTACTAGTAGTACCAGTAGTAGTAGTAGTAGTAGTAGTAGTAGTAGTAGTAGTAAAAATAGTAGTAGTAGTAGTAGTAGTAATAGTAGTAGTAGTAGTAGTAGTAGTAGTAGTAGTAGTAGTAGTAATAGTAGTAGTAGTAGTAGTAGTAGTAGTCCTACTAACAGCCGTAGTAGTGGTAGTCGTAGTCGTACTGGTAGTTGTAAGAGTAGTCGTAGAAGTACTTGTAATACCAGTAAAAGTAGTAGTAGTGGTAGTAGTAGTAGTAGTAGTAGTAGTAGTAGTAGTAGTAGTAGTAGTAACAGTAGCAGTAGTAGTAGTAGTAGTAGTAGTAGTAGTAGTAGTAGTAGTAGTAGTAGTAGTAGACGTAATAGTGGTAGTCGTCGTCGTCGTCGTAGTAAAAGTAGTCGTCGTTACAATAGTGGTAATAGCTGTGGTACTCGTAATCAGAGGTTGGGGGGTGAGATCGCTATGAAACGGAGACCGCCCGCCAGGAAATCGGTTTCGGTTTCGTGTTCGTGTCGTGCGTGCGGGCGAGGCGAAGCTGCGCGTGATCCTCCTGTAGCTAGGCCAAAATATGAGCGAAAGACCGTCCGCCCGTCCGCTGGTGGCTGGGACTGGGCCCGCGGTGTCCCGGCGGTGTCCCGTGGTGTCCCGTGGTGTCCCGTCCGCCGGTGGCTGGGACTGGGCCCGCGGTGTCCCGGCGGTGTCCTGTGGTGTCCCGTGCTGTCCCGTGGTGTACCGTGGTGTCCCGTTGGGTGAGATCGATAGTGAGATCGATACTGACATCGATGTGGTGCCCCGAGGTGTTCCGTGGTGTCCCGTGGTGTCCCGTTGAGTGAAATCGATAATGATATCGACATGTGTCCCGTGGTGTCCCGTGGTGTCCCGCGGTGGCCCTCTGAGTGAGATCGATGGTGAGATCGATACTGACATCGATGTGGTGCCCCGAGGTGTCCCGTGGTGTCCCGTTGAATGAGATCGATAATGACATTGGAAGTGAGATCGATGGTGATATCGATACTGAGATCGAAAGGTGTCCCGTGATGTCCCGTGGTGTCCCGTTGAATGAAATCGATCGTGGTATCGATAGCGAGATCAATACTGACATCGATGTGGTGCCCCGAGGTGTCCCGTGGTGTCCCGCTGAAAGAGATCGATCGTGAAATTGGAAGTGATCTCGATGGTGAGATCGATAGTGAGATCGACAGGTGTCCCGTGGTGTCCCGTGGTGTCCCGTTGAGTGAGATCGATCGTGATGTCGATCGTGAAATCGATAGTGAGAGCTACGTGGTGTCCCGCAGGAACCCATGGTGTCCCGTGGTGGCCCGAAGTGTCCCGTTGAGTGAGATCGATCGTGAGATCGATGATGAATTCGACAACTGTCCCGTGGTGTCCCGTGGTGTCACGTTGACTGAGATCGATAGTGAGATCGACCGAGTCCAATGTGGATTCCCCCCTTCGATTGAGTCAGACGTTGCTTCCCCGCTGAGTGAGATCGATACTGAGATCGAAAATGAGATCGACCAGTGTCCCGTGGTGTCCCGTGGTGTCCCGTTGAGTGAGATCGATCGTGATATCGATTGGGTCAGATGTTTGTTCCCCGTTGGGTGAGATCGATAGCGAGATCGATAGTGTGATCGACAAGTGTCCCGTGTTGTCCTGTGGTGTCCCGTTGAGTGAGATCGATAGTAAGATCGATCGAGTCCGATGTTGTTTCCCCGTTGAGTGAGATCGATCGTGAGATCGACAAGTGTCCCGTGGTGTCCCGTGGTGCCCCGTTGAGTGAGATCGATCGTGATATCGATTGAGTCAGATGATGGTTCCCCCCTTCTTCCCCCCCCCACAACCTCCTTATCTCCCGCAGGGCGGCCGCATAGTTAATCGTATTCGTATCAATATTAATACTAAGACTGACTTGGTTATTAGTAGTAGCGGTACTAGTAGCAGCTCTAGTAGTCGTAGTCATAGTCGCATTCGAAGTCGTAGTAGTGGTAGTAGTAGTAGTAGTAGTAGTAGTAGTAGTAGTAGCAGTAGTAGTAGTAGTAGCAGTAGCAGTACTAGTCGCAGTAGTAGTGGTAGTAGTAGTAGTAGTAGTAGTAGTAGCAGCAGCAGCAGCAGCAGCAGTAGTAGTAGTAGCAGTAGTAGTGGTAGTAGTCGTACGAGTAATCGTAGTAATATGCGTAGCAATAGTAGTAGTAGTCGTAGTAGTAGTAGTAGTAGTAGTAGTAGTAGTAGTAGCAGTAGTCGTAGTAGTAGTAGTAGTAGCAGCAGTAGTAGTAGTAGTAATAATAATAATAATAGTAGTAGTAGTGGTAACAAAAAACTAGAAGTAGCAGCACTACTAGTATGGAATCAATAGCGGTAGTCGTAGTAGTAGTCGTAGTAGTAGTAGTAGTAGTAGTAGTAGTAGTAGTTGTTGTTGTAGTAGTCGTGGTAATAAAAGTAATACTAGTAGTAGTCGCAATGTTAAGGATTTCTAAGGACTCCTAAGGAATCCTAAAAAAGGATTCCTATGTGTGCACCCAGATCCCTAAGGATTCTTGGTGACCACATATGGACTCCTAAGGTCCCCGAAGAGAGGCCCCAGGGATTCC